ATCCCCCACTGCTGGGCCCTTGCTCGCTGGCTGCGGCCGGCCGCGTGTCGTACGACGCTGCCGCGCGTGAGTACCGAGATTAACCCGGGCGCCCGTTTCCCTTCAGACATTTGAAACCGACGCACAAGAGCCAGCTGAGACGACTCTGGATTTTCCTCATGCTCCTCACCGTCCTGTGTGTTACTCTTCAAATTGTGGGGAACCTGCAGCCAACCCGGTAAGTTCCATATGGGGAGGAAGAGATTTCGCTGTAGGACTCACAAGAGTCGGACTGAGACCTGGTGCTGGCCAAAGGCTGCCAGCCCCATGCACCAAAACCAAAATGTGTCTTCCAGTTCGTTCCGATTGCCTACCAGCCTACGCCCCCGGCAGTCCCTGTCCAAGAGCGACTCAGGCATGCTCAGCACACGGGTGGCCCTTTGCCAAATGTTGCAGAAAATCGATCATTTGAATCCCTAGTGTCTGTGCTAGAAGCTTGATTTTGTGAGGCCTCTGTTCAGCCAGGGAGCAGAACCAGGCGATGGGAGTTGTGCATCCAGTGGAAACTGCTGGACTCAAGTATCAGAACCAACCACTTGAAAACAAGCCATTGGGGGGGGGGGGAGAATCATGATTTGGGGAGGCAATTTCAAAACAGAAAAGAAAATTAATTCCACAACCCTCACCCAGCTCCGTGATCAGCATCTGCCTTCAGATCCACCTGCTGGCACCTTAGAACTTCCCAAAGGCAGCGTAGCCACAGAGTCCGGCTCTCACAACTCACTCTGCTGCTGGAACTGCCAGGTGTCTTCAGACCTCAGCCCCCTAGCAATTCCCTGCTCATTACCTGGGCGCACGGGGCACTAACACCGGGACCTGTGCCCTGGGCCTGTGAGGCTAGAACTTGCGTGAGAGGACAAGGACGTTAAGGACTAGGCGACTATCCAGTCGGCACACGCTTCTCGGGTAGTCGCGTCGACTGGTCGCTATCAGACAGAGGCAGCAAAGGGGGTGGGCAAGAGGGGTACTTCAAAGCAGCAGTGCAAGTAAGGGCTCCATGCAGCACTGCCTCTTTGAAACTCCGAGTTGACATCTCAAAGGGGCAGCGCCACGTGGAGCCCAGGGTCAGCTGCGGAGTCCTGAGCTGACCCAGCGCCGCATGGAACCCGGGATCAGTGGGGGGCTCTCAGTCCCCTGCTGACCACAGGCTCCGTGCAGGCACTCCCACTTTGAAATGCTCTTGTGCATTCCCAAGGGCATGGTGCCCAGAGTCAGCAGGACATCCCGCGGGCCCCCGTTGCACGCCGAGTTAGTTGTGAAATGCACGAGCATCCTGCTGGGGCTCTAGTAGGTTCCAGAGGCGGCAGGCGGACGTGCCTATCGACCAGTCGATTAACGGCTAGTTCACGCCCTTTGAGAATGGGTCTCTGCCCCACACACCTGCTGTGGGTGGAGCACACAGACCGCTGCCTGACAGACGGACGGAGTGGGCACTACAGCCGTAGCTGGGTGTCCGCTGGCTGTTAGCTCAGGCTGCAGTGGCTCCTGTCCCGAGCTCCAGGGGGGCCCCGGGCCAGTCCCGCCTCCAACCTTGCATCCACACACGGTTATTGCAGAGCTCAGAGATGCCCGGGCCACGAGGGGCGGTTTGAGCTCAGCGGGACCTTCCCAACACAGGCCGGTACCTTCCACCCAGTTAGTCTGCACTGCGGGCAGCTGCCTGGCTTGGACTAAATCACGTGAGTCCTCCAGAGCTAACAGAGCGCCCCGGGACACGGCCGAGCCCTCGGCCACCCTCAGCACCGTCCCTAAGCTCTAGGGCGAGGCCGCGGGCGCCTCTGAAGGCTGGGGCCGGGGCAGGGCTGGCGGGAGCTTGCCTGCACGCGTAGGACACTGCAACGGCTGCCACACGGGCAGGTAAGATGCATGCGGGTTTCCCAGCTCAGGGGCTTCCGCCGGACTAAGCAGCGGGGATCTGGGCTGGGAGACGCTCACCCCAGTGCAGCCGCAGGTGTGAGCAGAAACTCCAGCCAAGCGCTGGCCAGGAGAGCTCCTTCCAGCAGGAGACGGGGACAGACTCTGGCCACCGAGTGCCAGCGCCGTTGGACAGTGACACCCCACGCGCCTGGCGGCACAGAGCCACGCCCGAGGCCCGGTCGGAGGGCAGCCCCCTGCCCGCCCCAGAACCGGGCCAGACCGCTGGCCAGCTGCCGGCCAGCCAAGTGCCCAGCTCGGGCGGGGGCTGGCAGACGAGCCATGGAGACGGTGAGGACGTGCAGATCCTTCCCACGCCCACGGGACTGAAACCCCAGCCCCAGGGCGCTGAAAGGGCCCCCCCGAGGGATGCCCCGGCTCGGCCCGGGAGCCCCCCTCCGAGCAGGAAGCCCGTAACGATGGCAGAAGTTCCCCTCAGCCACAAGCTGGAAGCGGCTGCGGAGGAGCCAGCGTCAGGGCCACCCTTCGGGCAGGCTGCGGGGTCCTTCCAGAGCCGGGTGGGAACCAGGGCAGCAGCCAGGACCACGGCGGCCGAGAGGCGCCAGGAGGCAGCCGCAGGGAGCCCAGGCAGATGGTCGCCTCAGGGCAGCACCCCAGGCCGCAGGGCTGGGGGAACGAGGGGAGATGCGCTTCCTTCCAGCCGGCCAGCGGCCCCCGGCCCCGCAGCCTGCGAGCCCCAGACCCACGTGGTGTTCCTGAAGACGCACAAGACCGCCAGCAGCACCATTATGAACCTGCTGTTCCGCTTCGGGGAGACGCACAACCTCACCTTCGCCCTGCCCGCCCGCGGTGCCAGCCAGCTGGGCTACCCCCACTACTTCCGGGCCGAGTTCGTGGAGGGGTTCGGCGCCCCCGGCCACGCGCCCCACTTCAACATCATGTGCCACCACCTGCGGTTCCTGCGGGACCAGGTAAGGGACGGGGCGCCCCGGGCCAGGGAGCACAGCGGGAGGAGAGGGCAGCTGTCGAGAGGCTGCCTTGCCCACTGGCCGGGAGCTGGTGTAAGCAGGTGCTGTCTGGGGGACGACGGGCTCAGGGACGGGAGACCCGCTCCCGGCAGGCCCAGGGCAGAGTGGGGGATGGGTTAGGCTTGGCGGGGGCTGTTGGGGAGCGTGTCCTGCCCAGGAGGAACCCCCCTTCGGCCAATAAAGCGCAGCTGCTCTGTGGCAGCGCAGAGGACTCCAGGCGCGAGCGCTGGCCCCGAGGCTCTGAGCAGCGGGGGTAGGTCGTGCGGCTGTGCCTGCGCCTGTCGCTTGCCCGTGGGCTCAGGTGAGGTGTTAGCCTGGTGCTTGTGCATTGGTCAGCCCTCACACTCGTCCCCCTCCCCCCCAGGTGCAACGGGTGATGCCAAATTCCACCTTCTACGGCAGCGCAGAGGACTCCAGGCGCGAGCGCTGGCCCCGAGGCTCTGAGCAGCGGGGGTAGGTCGTGCGGCTGTGCCTGCGCCTGTCGCTTGCCCGTGGGCTCAGGTGAGGTGTTAGCCTGGTGCTTGTGCATTGGTCAGCCCTCACACTCGTCCCCCTCCCCCCCAGGTGCAACGGGTGATGCCAAATTCCACCTTCTACTTCTCCATCCTGCGCAACCCCGTCCACCTCATGGAGTCATCCTTCAGCTACTACAAGGGCACCTCCCCCTTCGCCCGCGCCCGCAGCCTGGAGGAGTTTCTCAGCCAGCCAGAGAGGTTCTACAGGCCCCTGGAGCCCGACAGCCACTACGCCAAGAACCTCATGGCCTTCGACTTCGGCTTCAACCACAACGGCGCCGTCTCCGCCCAGCACTCCCAGCAGATGCTGCGGCACCTGGAGCAGGTCTTCGACCTCCTCCTCCTCTCCGAGTACTTCGACGAGTCCATGGTGCTGCTGAAGGAGGCGCTGTGCTGGGACCTGGACAGCGTCGTGGCCTTCCCGCTCAACAGCCGGGAGGGCGGCACCAGGTCCCCCCTCTCCCAGAGCACAGCCGAGAAGATCAAGAGCTGGAACAGTCTGGACTGGGCAA